AAACTTCTATTTGACAGCATTGATCTCTGCTGAGGGGCTGGTGTATTTGAACCACTAGCCTCTAGATTGGCAGCAAAACACGTAATCAAACACACTACCAGGGCTCCTTATAGGACCCAATGAAAACCTACTGAACGAATTAATGCAAGCACTCTCTAAATCCTATATAGGCTTGTTTTGTGGAGGGAAAGCTCATTGCAGAATGTACCAAAGCTGGTATTGATTTGCCAAATATTACGGATATTATAAAATCAATTCTTGGTTCTTGACTATGGAAAAAGATGTAGTTATTGAGAAACCTTCAACTCTAAGAGATATTGATCCTATGACTCCTTGATTCCCTTCTTATCAATTTCAAAAAGTTAATAATATGGCCCAGTTTTTCTCAGTAGCTAATAAATCTATTCCTATTGTCCACATTGTCTAGGCTGGTTGTCATCAATTCAGAAGCCCAGTGAAAAGAACAGAGCTGCTGAAAGCAGCCTGGGCTTGAACTTTAGTAGTCCTATGTTTATGTGACTTTAATAAGGGACCTAATTGGGATGAGTTTCACTTTTCTCTTCTGTAAAATGGACTCGAGTGGGCACAGAGATTAAATAAGAAGACAGAAGCCCCTAGAGGATAGTAAGGAAATACTTCCAAATAGGATACGCTCTTGCCTGTCTGTATCATCATCATCGCTTCTATATTGCTGGTCCAAAACCTGTTGCCAGTTAGTTCATTCCAACACAAAGCCAACAATATTCTCATGCTACTCATTGCTGTGGGATTAGAACTGAATCAAAGCCAACCCTTCAGTGGGTATTCTGAGGCTGTAAATATCATCTTTCTTGCAAGCAATCACTAAAGGATCTGAACTCCCAGAGCAGTGTAGTGTTTGGGTCAAAAGCACAACTAACTCTCTCTGGATGAGGCCAACAGAGTTTCCTATAGATGGTGTACGTTTGTAGACATGATCTCACTTCTTTGAGTGAATAAGGCAATTACAAGAGAGATAGAGGAGACAGAAAAAAGGAACTTTCTGAGATTGTACTTAAGATAGAGGAGACAGAAAAAAAGGAACTTTCTGAGATTGTACTTAAAGTGCAATTTAGCAAAAATTAACAGAACAGCTACTATGTATCAGTTTCTTGTGACAAAAAAGATCTCCCAGAATAAACCCAATGACAGTTAGTTTGCTTTTCTTTCTTCCTTTAAAAGAACATTTGGTAAAGGGCAAGATGGACAGATACCCAAGGAGCTGTAAAATAAGGCAAATTGAAGCTGAATCGTTTTAGACAAAATTATATGAACAAAAAAAGGCGAGATTAGGTCCGAAATAAGCTCTTGAGAAGATTTCTTGGAAGTATCAGTTGACTGGATGTTGAAATACGCAAAGAGTTTTACAAAGTAGAAAGTAGAGGTAGGAGTTGAAGGAATTAAGAATTAGAATAGAAAACAATGAAGAGAGAATTATTTGAAAAATGACATTTGCATATTTCTTCTCTTCACATGCCTCCATCTTCTTCTTTTATCTTGGTTTGGGGGGCTGTTTTGTTGGATTTTGTTTTTAAGATTGTTAGAGGAGTCCAGTGACCAACTTGCTTATCTTTGGAATTTAGCAAGGAGGTAACAGGAAGAGAAAGGCAGAACACCCTTAACCTTAAAGGCTAGTTCAGGTAATAAGTACTGGAGATCTTGTCTGAAGAATCGGAAGGAGGCAAGAGAGGATATAAATCACAAAATGTCTTCTCACACAACTGAAGGCCTTGTGGACAGAGATCTTTTCAGGAAAATAGAGGGCTTTGTGGTCAATAACACAAACTTTTGCAGGTACTAAGAAGGAGGAAATGTTTTTGTATTTGTACTGTACAAGGCAGAGTGTTTTTATAGTCCTGACTACACAGCTTCAAACATATTCATTGCCGCCTGGGCTGGGCAGCCTAAACTCAACAGGGGCCCAACAGCTGATTTGGAATCTCTGAGGTGTTTCTCCTTGGTTGAAATGGAGTCACAGCTCCCCCTTCTGGGAACTAAAATATAATCCAGCCCCGGAAAAGCCTGCCTGGAAAGGGCTCTATTGCAGATGGGCCTGGAAACCTTAAGTTCTCAGCGCTCACCTGCACCCAAAGGGAATTTTCAGGAGTCTCAGAACAGTTTCGGACAGGCCTAACTCTGATTCCTCTAGAGCCATCATTCACAAAGCTTTAGATTTCTTTCCACTTCTTTTGAATTCCCATCTTCAAGGAGGTGATCCCTTTATATGGGAGAAACACAGTTTAGTGCAGAAGTTGCAATTTTGTGTTGGAGAATACAATAAGTGAGAAAGGTTTCTGAGCCTGCACCTGAGTGTATCTGAGTGCATACATGCATTTATTCTTGTCTGTATTCTCTCATGGGTTCAATAGGTCTAAATATATAGGGGTGAGATTTTGATTAACATAAAGAAATTAGTTTGTCTGAAGTATTTGCATTGGCAGAGGAGAGCTTTCTGGAAAACTGTCCTCAACAAAGACTGCAGGTAGTGCTCGGAAGGTTTACTGGGCGTTAGCTACCAGCTGTGGTCAGTATTAGGTCCCTGACTGTTTATGATACTCTGAAGCCTTTGGAGAAAGAAGGTATGATCAGTGTGCATGTTTGTGTCTATATGTGCATGTGGGCTATGTATGTGTGTATATGTATGTATCCAGAGAGTGATGATGGCACTGGACCTGATCGCTTCGGGGTCTTGGAGTAGCTTTGAAATGCATCTCTGACATGAGAAGCTGGATGAGGAAAGAGAGGTGATTGTCTTGGCTGGAAGTGTGACATCGGGTGGAGCGGAAAGGGCATTGATCTGGCTGTCCTGTCCAGCAACTTAGGTTCTAGCCTTGGGCAAGTCACCAACTCACTAGAAAATACCGGGGAATTTTCATCCCCTCTCTGGGCCTCTAGAGTCCTGCTCTTTAATATTCCTTTCAGCTCTGATTGTCTATGAATTGAAAAAGAGAGAAAATGAAAGCAGCTCCTAACATAAGGCCTCCTCTTCTGTCCGACCCCAAATGAACCAAGGCATTCTGCTCCAACAAGAGTTTCCCCAAGCAGGTTCCCCTTGGCTGTTTGAAGAGCCTCAGAGAGAGACCAGCATATCTATCTGCAAGTGAACAGAGGCAGGTAGCAACATCACCCACCCATCAGGGGCAGATTCTCGCAAACACATGTTTGCTTTCCTCTCTCCCCAGAAGATACATATGTATAGATAGACATTTTTAAAGCCAAGTATATGTCTGTATTCCTGCCACTCATACACCAATGGCCTTTTCACTGGTTCTTTCGCACCAAGGCAGAAAAGCAGCTGAGCCCTCACATCTCAGTCTTGTTCTCCCAGAGTCTGGATGACTGAGAGCAGAAAAGCTGCCTCTTACCTTGGGAAAGTAACAGCTACCGAGTCTGGAAGCCATGCTAACAGCAGTAAAACTCAGCATTTTTTGCTGAGTAGGGCAAGCCTTTAAGAGGCAGCGGGGAATCAAATCAATGGCTGGCCCTAGAGTCGAAGCCCAAGACAGGTCCTAGCCAGGATGACCAAGGGACTTATCTAAAGAGTCTGCTAGGAGGCAGGGGATAGGGGGCCTTGGCCCAACCTGTCCCCATGATTCTGAGCTCCTTCTCACAGGCCCTGTGCCCTTGGCTGTGTGTGGAATGAAGCAAGAGTACTCACTGACAGCAGTTTAAGTTAATAACTGCTATTCTGCCCTGGATTCCTCAACCTCAACCCTTCCCAAATTGTAGGATCCCCTCAATATTGAAATACACGGGCAAACACACACACATATCAGTACCACCTCTCTGCCTGCCTTCTCCCAGTATCCCCCTAACTCCAGTGAAGACATATGGACATGGCAAAGGAAGGGATACTCCCGGGGGGCATGTTAAGGCTGCCTGAAACAGAGAAAAGAAGGTGGAATCTATCTTAGAGAAATGCCCCATTGATCTCCTCCCATATTACTCAGGACTGCCCTTAAAGGAAATTTCCTCTGAGACCCCAGGTTACAGTAATGGGTAAGTAAATCCCCTAGGACTGTCTCCTTTCCCTTGAGCGGGAACATGCAAACTTGTCCATATCCTCTCCCAAAGCCCCAGGAGCAGGGGATGCTGTTATGGCTACAAATCCAAGGCAGGGCATATATCTACATCAGACTTGCCAAGCCCCAGATAAGATGCTCACAGCTGACTTCACCTTTTTTTCAGTCACCCACTATTTAGTGACTCTAAATCCCCATCAGAATTCCCCAGAGTCTGCCCAGTATGGAATTTAAAGTGACAATGTCCCATTTGCCTCAGGGTTTGACCATTTCTCTTTCATATTAATAGGTGGGTTCAAGTGTAACAGGAATCCATTCTTCCGAGGGATTTTTCTTCAAGGGAGCCAACACTGGACTAAATAAAGTATCATTCCTAGCCCCCAAAATTCCCCCAATCCCAAACCCAGAACCCTAAGAGGAAGTCCACAGCGGGTTTCCCCGCGGCTACGTGATCCTATAGTAAGGATACCATGCCTTGCGAGCTGAAGAGACCTAATTCTAAAAGGCACACATGCAAACACATACGTACAAACATGCACACACATACACACACACATCGCGCCATAAGTAGGTTATAGGACCTCTCTTCACCCTCTCTCTCTCACTCACACACACACACACACACACACACACACACACGCACCAAACGCAAACGACGCCACACACGGAAACACACCAGCACCACACGAAGTTCCGACCATGGCACACACGTCGAGAGAGCGTGGGGGGCACACATGCCACTTACTAAAACCCGCATTTAACCCTTGGTGTCCCAAGACAGAGACACATCCCCCAGCCCCGGAGCCTACGAGGACTTGGAGGCGACAGGGAACCGGGACGCAGAGCGGCCGAGGGGGCCGGGGGGGAGGGGCGTAGGCAGGCGGGGGCGCCCCGAATGCGGTCCAGGGCCCGCTCCAAGGGCAGCGGGGCTGCCGGCCACTGCGCCCGGCGCCGCCTTACCTGGAGTCAATGTCCGTCTTTGGCGGAGAGCTGCGGGCGGACGCTTTTTATTCGGCTAGGTGGGAAGTTGGAAGAGCTCTGCGTGCAGCTCGCATACCGGGGACGGCGCGGGGACTGCAGGCGCGGGGGTACCTGGCTCCTAGCAGCCTGGCTCATACTCAGCCGTAAAGTCCCCTTGGCTGGTCCCGAGGACAGGCATGAATCCCGGCTCCGGAAGGCGGTCTCTACTCGCTCTGCCTCGGGCTCGCTCGCTCTCGCTCTCTCCTCCCCTCGCTCCCTGCGCTTTTCCTCCTCCCCCCGCGCCGGATCAGTTAGCAGCGATGGGGACCCAGAGCGAGGCGGCTGGCGAATGGAGAGGGAAGTCCAAGTGCGCCGCGGTCTCCGGGCTGGGAGCAGCGGAGGCCGGGCTACGCGGAGGGAGGGACTTAGCCGGCGACGGGCGAAAATGAATGGGGGAGCGGAGGCCGGGGGCGGGGAGGGAGGAGCCGGCGCCCGGGCTGGTTCCGAGGAGTGTTTTGTACATCTTTAGGCGGAGGAGGAGAAGGGAGAGGAGGGGAGAGGGGAGTCTGCCTTGGAGGGGAGGGACGCCCTGGGTGGGCTGAGGCTGAGCCATTGGTGAGTCTCCCAGGTCCGGGGATGGGGTGGCACGTCTCCGCATATGCACACCCCACGGGGCTGTGTTATGTGCGCAAACCCCGAATCGTGGTGTCCTCAAGCGTGTCTGCAGCTCTGTCTGAGTGCTTCAGGATATTCGGTGCTTGTGTGGCTCTGTCTCTCTCTCTCTCTCTCTCTCTCTCTCTCTCTGTGTGTGTGTGTGTGTCTTGGGAAGTGGCTGCGTGGGTCCGTTTGTGTATTTGTGTCTGAGTATTTGATACTGTTTTTCTGTATACGTAGGCGTGAGCCCATGTAACCTCCTAGGATTAAGCAAGTGCTTCTGTCTACGTGGGTAGGTTGCGTGAGTGGGCAGCTAAGGGTACACAAAGTTCCCTGGAGACCACCAGAGGCAGGGAACGGGCAAGCCCGGCGACTAAACCAGGAGCATAAATCCTCAGAGTTCAGGGAGAAATGTGGCCCGGGGATATTGACATCTAACCTCTTCCTGAATTTAAAAGGCAGGTCATAGATTTGAAGTCCATGCAGTGCATATCCTGTGTGTTACTTTGTGGGTTTTTCTCTCTCTCTCAATCAAATCAGCAATTCAGATTCATAGTCCCTTACCATTTAGACAAAAACTAGGTAGCGTTTGGTTAAACTAAAAGGGGGAGAGTCAGAGAAAAATAAACGGGGGGAGGGCAGAAACTACAAGGAACCCAAACCCTCTTGAGTAATAGTGCAAACTCTTAGAGAATTTGGAACCCTGTAATTGTGATCTTGGCCAAATTACCTACCTCTTAAACCTAAATTTGTCATCTCTATAACTGGGCAATATAAATATTAATGTAATAGAGTTGATGTGAGATTAAATGAGTTAACATATGGAAAAGCGGGCAGAATACACTCTAGAACTTAGTAAATGCTCTATATGTGTTCTCATTTGTTACTATGATTGCCATTTTGATTATTATTCTAAGGATGATATAGAAGAGAAGATGCAATCACTAAGGAAAATCTAGAAAGACCTAGGAGGCAGAAACCAATTGGAAGAAGCCTTGAAACAAAACAGAAGATAAATGCTTGAGTGAGGAAATGGAAATGAGGAGAAATTCTTTAATTAGCAATAAGAGAGAGAGAGAGAGTAAGAAGGGGGAAGAGGATAGGAAAAAAGAGAGTGCTTATATCTCCATAGAGCTTGGCAGAGGAGAGGGAGCAGTGGGAACTGTCAGCCAGTTTGGTTCTGAATTCTCTGCTTTTCCTCCACTCCAAATCAAATTAGAGGAGTCAGCACCACGGACAGCTCTCCAGCCACTGACCAGCAATGAATGCTTTTTCTGGCTAGTAGAACCTCCTCTTTTGCCTGGACAGTTTTCTCCTGCTCTCAGCTTCTGGCCCAGGTTCAGATCCTAGGTGGTAGTTCCCTGGGAAGTTCCTACTTTGCGTCCAGCCATGAAGAAATCAACTCGCCATACACATTGATTCTCCCATCAATTACAGTATTAAATTCTGTTTCTATCTCATTCTTCATCCCTCAATCTCTTTCTGTTTCTCCCTCATATTCCAGCTCAGATCTGCCTCCTCAGATTGTAACAGTAAGTAACCAGAGCCTTGACAGGAGGACAGTTCAGAAATGAGTCTGAAATACACTAGTCAGACAGTTTCCAGGAAGGACTAAGTTACTTACTGATTCATCTCTTAATCTCACAATATGGGCCAGGGTCCAGATGCCTTAGAGGAGAATACGTAACACTGTAAAACATATTCATATCTTCCTCTCCTCTATCTCACTCATCATTCTTTCCTTCAAGAAACATAGAATGTATCCCAGCTCCAACTAATGTTAGAGAGAAAGAGAAAAGGGAGAGAATTTAAAACAATACAAAACAAGAAAAATTTGTGTGAGAATTTCATTTAAAGTTTTTCCTACAATATGTTATTATTTTAACAGTGCTATAAGATATATAATGGGTAATATATTATTTACATATAAAAGGAAATCAGACTTTGGATAGCTTAAATAGCATACCAAGATTCAGCTAGTAAGTAAGGGAGTAATGAATTGCATATCCAACACTTACTTTTCTCCGTGTCCTCTGGGCATAGTGGAGGAGGCCTGAGTTGACTGCAAGATCATCAAATTTAATAGGATCATAGGACCCAATCCTAAATATCAACTTAAGTAGCTGAGACCACTGCCTTCTCTGCACCAATGGAGTATTTAGCATCTCTTGTCCCTGGAGGAGGAAATGAAGGCTTTGCATGGACAGATTTAAGGCTCACAGGAGTCTTATGGTTACTGAGCTTTAAGTAAAGCTGCAACCTTTCCAGGTCTAAGTTCATTTGCATTTGGCTCTGTTTAGCTTCCCTGTTTCTGTGAAGAAAGGCTAAAAGGGCCATTTAAAAAGTCTCCAAAGACTCTTTGGTCATCAGAAAAGTTCTCAGTGTGAAGTATTCCTAATGACTTATGGAGAAAGCAATTGGTACCATATGGATAACATTTCTGCAGAAATACACACGGGTGGGAAAAGGTTTAGAGGCCAAAAATATATTTCTTTTTTTCTTCTTTGCCAAAGAAAGAACATTTAAGGCAGCTTGAGATATGTGAGAAATGTCTTGTTCTTTCTTTGGGGTGGGTGTTGGTGAGCAGCTGTTTGCTATTTCCTCTGAATTTACCAAGGGCTTGCAAGGAAGGAAGTACCAATGGCTTAAGGTAGACTTAAGAAAGTACTTCCTGTCTACAGACAGAACAGGACTTTTGCCAATGGCATTTAATGAGGCAATAGATTGGTTCCTTTCTAGTCTCCTCTGCAGCATAGAGGGTTTAAGAAACATTAGATCAACATTTCAGGAGTACAGACTCTTCTAAGAACCTGTGATTACTATGTATCTCTCTCATGTACAAAGTGCATTTATATAAATGCCTACACTATATATAGGCTACGTGGAATGTCAGTGAATCCCTACATGCCATAAATATCTATCCCTTGATCCCAGATTCGGAACCTCTAGAGTAGATAACCTTTCTGGTCTCTAGTGTTACCTTAGAATTTATCATTTGTTTCATTTACATTTGTATTTAAAATATTGGAAAAGGGAAACCAACAGGGAAAATCATAAACAAGGAAGTAGTCCAGTTCTAGAAACAGACAAGAAATATAGATAAATGTTCAATGGTGAGTTGAAGGTGCCACTTCCCCCTCTTTAAATAAAGATAAGGTTCAGACCTGTTTGTGCAAGACTCTGAGCCACCTGCTTCTGCCTCAAAGGCTTAAGTTTACTACTCCTGTCAAATCCAAAAGGACTTAAAATCCCTTAATCTAGGGTGCTTTGGGTTCAGAACAAACTGAACAGGTGCAGGGGAGGGGGGAAGTATCCTACATTGAGTACCTACTGAATGTGAGTTGATTTGAAAAAAAAAAAAAACCCGAATGCTTTGCCTTGTGCAAATGCTTTGCTTTGACTTCTAGGAGTCTGGAGTTCATTGCAGACCCAGACTTGTGCCTAAATAATCACAAGTCTCCATTGAATATAAATGGCATGAAAAAGGCCCCTAGAAAATGCTGGGAAAAATAAGAGGTAGAAAAACTAGTCTCTGTGTAACATTTAGAAAGCTCTGATGGTGTAGTCCACTGGAAGTTGTGCTACTAATCCAAAGGCCACGCCTCACTGGCAGTTCAAATCCACCAACAGCACTGTGCGAGAAAGATAGCTAATCTACTCCTGTGCAGTCTTCTGCCCTAGCACCCAAGGAAGGGTCTGCCATGAGTCAGTTTCAACTCCACAATAACTGACACTTTTATATAACATCAGACTCATATCCAAAACTTTAAAAGCAGTTAAATGAATAAGAACTAAATTTATTGAAGGGAATTGATGGCATAGTGCATAATATAAATTATTAGCAGTTCTAATCTGTCAGCTACTCCATAGGAGAAAAGTGAGCAGTTTTCTCCCATAAAGCTTTACAGCCTCACAAACCTGCAGGAGGGTCACTGGGAATCAGAATCAACTCAACAGCAGTGGGGATATTTATTCCTGGGTTGAACAAACAATTAAACACTTGACTTCTATGCTAAAAGTTTGGTAGTTCCAGACCACATGGAAGACGGGCATGGTGGCCTACTTAAAAAATCCCGCAAAGCAGTTCTGCTTTACACAAATGGGATGTCCATGAGTTGGGATTGACTTGAGGTCAACTAACAGTAACATTTATTGAGCATTTAGTGTGTGTGATTTTGTTTTACTTGTATCCACAATCAATACTTAATGAAGTAGTCAAGAAACAAAAATACGTATGGGAGGTGGGGAATCCCTGAACAAAAAGCCCAAATACATGCTGTACTGGGCAAATCTGCTGCAAAAGACCTTGTTAAAGTTTTTAAAACCAAGGATGCCACTTTAAATAAGCTACCCCTGACACAAGTCACAGTATTTTCAATCACCTCATATTCACATGAAAACGACAATGAGGAAAGAATATCAAATAAGAATACAATTGAGTTATGGTGGTGGCAAAGAATATTTACTATGCAATGGACTATCAGAAAAAAAATAAGCAGATCTCTTTTGAGAGAATAATCAGAATGATCTTTAGATGTGGGTATGATGAGACTTTGGCTCATGTCTTTTTGGACATATTATCCAGAAGCATCAAGTCCTTGAAGAAAACATCACACACAGTGGATGGTCATCAAAGAAGAGAAAGCCTCTCAGTGAGTTGAATTGCCAGAGTGAAAATAACAATAGTCTCCAAATTTCATCTCTCAGTTTGTCACACCATGGT